CTTCAACTTTTCCGCAGACCTAGTCACAACGGAGCGGGGGTGCAGAGGCGAGAGCCAGGAGACGTCGTCGGTGCTCGTGTTCCAGTAGTAGAACCTTAAGGGCGGCAGAAAGTGCGTAACGAGGAGGTAGGTGAGACATAGGTCCGAAAAACTGTCGTGTCGGTGAGCACGTGTTGAGGAAAGAGAGGGAAAGTCTGGCTACTAGTACACGATGTGAGCAAGACCAATGCGACTGTACATTTTCGCGGTACGACAAATCATAAGTACATCCGGGCCCTTCCTACGTCTTGAAGGCCACATCTCAAAGGGTTTTCGCAGGCCCACAGTCGACTGCACGTTAAGGACTCTGAGAATACACAACGACATGTGTCCCTCTCCTTCTCCCACGAAACGGAACTTCAGTTCGCTTCAGTTTTAGTAAGGGACAGATAGGCAAAGGCGCTTGAGCTCCCAATTGGTAATACAGGGGATAAGAAAGGCATCGATACGGCAGAAAAATTTATACAAAGAAATTGTTTACATAATTTGACACAAAAATCGTACGGCCATCGGTTGTTCAGAAAAATTAAATGTACAAAACTACCCACACATTACAAGTAGCAAACCCAAGTTTGTAATTAATATGCAGATAAAATTGCCGGCAAAGACAAGGGAGACCGGAATTGCCATTTCTGGCCAGTCATACCCAGGCGTAAGTGGTGTCCCACCCGAGCCTCAAACTCGCGTAATTAGGAGACGGGCAGGAGATAGGTCCTAAAACTGCCGTGTCGGAGAACACGAAGTATGGAAGTGTTGAAGGAAGGCAAGGAAAGTCTGGCTACTAATAAACGATGAGAGGGAATAAAGCAAGACCGATGCTATCATACCTTTGCTTGGTATGATAAATCAGAGGTAAATTAAGGATATCTCTGCGTCTAAAGGGCTGTTACTCAGAGGGTCTCCGCGGGCTCAAAGGCGACAGCGCGCCAATAGCTCTGGGATTACACTAGGCCATGTGGCACCCCTTCAACAAAATGGAAATTCGGTTCAACTCAGTTTTACTAAGGGAAAGATAGGCAAACGCCCTTGAGCTGCCCATTGGTAGCACAGTGAGTAATAAATAAATCGATACAGCGGAGGAATCTCAAAAAAGAGCTGGTTTACACCATCCCAGACGAAAGGAGAGCAGCCGTTTGTTAGTCGAAAAACGTAAACATACACGACTACTCACTTATTGCAAGTAGTATAAATACATATGTAATTATTACTTGACCGCGATTGCTGTGGCACATTGAATACGCAAATCCCAGGCCAAAACGGTAGCAGTTTACAAAAATATGAAAAAGGGAAATGAGGGATACCAAAACGAAATCTATGGATACTACTGTGATTCGATTCTGATAAAGATGTTACACTGCGGCCGGTCTTTGCCTGATGGGGCAGCTAGGTGTAATAAAAACTGCAAAGCGATTCGACTACATCAGTTCGGTTGGCCTCTTAATTTCCTATAGACCACAAAAGTCGGAGGAATTAATCAGACAGAATTAGGGTCCCTTTTGATGTGACGTCGCTGTTCACATTTACCGCATCAATTTTGGCACAGTACTTCCGTCGAAAAAAAAACCGAAGAAGCCCTACGTCAAAACGCAGGGCCCACTTAAAACGGGGCATCTCAAAAGGCTGTTTGAATTTTCCCAAAAAAACTTAGTCAACTTTCCGGAAAAAACTTATGGGCCTATCAGAGGAATACAAACCGGCTCTAAAAACTCTGGTTAAAGGGCAGAAGTTGTCCTATAAGAGCTAAATCATAAGTGCCTTGGTTCAAAAGGAGCCGAGTCTTGGCGATATTACGTTAACGCCAAGTGTATTATCATCAGACATAAAATGTCACAAAAAATTCCATAATCTGCTCAGCTCTATCTACCCTGATATACAACTCACAGAGGAAGAAAGGAATCAAAATATGACTTTCAGTGATGTGAACGTTTCAACGGGGAACCAGAGACGGCGGTTTACACGAAGACAACGAACACCACACAGCTTCATCATTTCCCAGGCAATCTGCCAGTGTACTTACTTACTTGTACTTGTTTCGGTTGTGATCATGTCTGATCTAGCCGACCTAAATGACGTCACGGACGGTACCCTTATACGCCTGACGATTGGCGGCAGAGGTCCTGGAAAGCTCCACCACTTCTCTTTTCCAGCGACGGAAGACAGAAGGCCCAAGGACTACTTCCAAGTCTTGACGAACGGTGTCGAGCCAAGCCTTGATTTGCCCAACTCTTCAGCGCTTACAGGTGGGCTGCGGTGTCGGATCGAGGGCAGCATAACAAAGCTCGTGAGGTGGAGGACGAAGAACGTCTTCAAACTATCTTAGTCGCCGTTCTTGGATTGTTTAAGATATCCTAGCGACGTTGTTGTACCGAGAGCGGACAGTGTCACTTGAGACGAATTCGAAATATTGTTTTAAAGCAGTGGTGCTTAAATACCTTCAGTCCTCACTAATTTTCATCGCGAAAA